TTTGCTGAAAGGGCCCCCTACAGCCCGCCGCCTGACCCTCCCTGGACTGAGGACCAGGAAGGAATTGACACTGTGGATGGCAAAGGGAGGCCCTCTCCACCCACTTGGCCTTGGCTGACTTCTGCCTTCCCTGTATCCCTCTTCCTTTCATCAAATTCAGCTGATATTTGAGGTCACCTAATAGATACCACACAGGTACCGTGGGTGAACATAGATGCACAGGTGACACAGAGCTATCCAGAGGCCCTGGCGTCAGACTCCAGCACACTGTAGCCTCCCTAGGGAAGCAGCAGTATCACAGAGATGGTCAAATACAAGCAAGGAGTATCAGGGAGAAAGGAGAGGAAGACTGAGCTGGGAGGATTCCTCCTGCCTCTGACAGATTCCAACAGAGATTCTCAAACGCTGCTTCCCCCTGGTGGCCACCCATGGCCCTGCAACTCAGAGACCACGTGATTTCAGGGAAACAGACCTCCCTGAAGGAGAACTGAAACAGGGTGGGGACTGTAAAAACAGGGCGGAGTTATCAGGAAGCTGCCTAGCCAAGAGCTGAGCTGAGGTCAGTCGAGTCCTGGGACAGCCTGCACAGCAGCTCAGGTAAGATCAGCCAAGAATTGGTGGCAGCCTGGATCTAGGGCTGGAGGGCTCTGCTTGATCAGAGGGGCAGGCAAGGGGGCTGGTGCTTGGGAGGCCCCTCTGCTAGACAGGAATAGACAGAAGGCCTGTGAGCCAGGAAGCAGGTTTGGCCTGAGTAAGAGACTGACCAGGACCTGTGTCCCAAGCTCTATAGGCAAAGGCTAGGAGGACCTGCTGCCCAGTTGTTCAGGGAAGAAGGCTGTTTGCCCACTCCACTCGACCCTGTTTGTTTTCGTGGTTTCTGGCCCTGCCCACTTATGCTGCAGCTCCGCCCCTGCCCCCAGCTCCCTGCCCCACCTACCCCTGGGGCAAGCAGTGGGGATGATGGGGGTCATGGTGGTTTCCGGAGTGGTGGGTGAAGGGTGAGGCATTTGAGAAGCAGATGCCGCCTCTGCAAATGCTTGGGATCTAGACAGAGCCTCTCACCAGGTATAGAACACCAAGGAAATTCTTACAAACAATAGATTCCTGAAAAGTGTTAAAATTAAGACCATGCCTAAGGTTTCCTTCCAATGCCACAGGTATTAGGGTAGTAAAAAGAATGTTTTTATTTGTTTCTTGGGGGTGGGGGGTAATTGCCAGTGATGGCAGAAACAAAACTATATGGCTTCAAGAAGTTTGAAATAAATGTCTACAGACAAAAGATGGATGAGTTCTCTGGGGGCCCTTGCCAGAATACAACCCAAATGGCCAGAACCTCAGTAAATGTTCCCTCCCAAAGAATTGGTTCTATTGATGCTGCTCTTATCCTCAGGATGGCATCAGGCAAGGCACGCTGTACCCGAAAACTCCGGAACTGGGTGGTGGAGCAAGTGGAGAGCGGGCAGTTCCCAGGGGTGTGCTGGGAAGATGAAGCTAAGACCATGTTCCGGATTCCCTGGAAGCATGCAGGCAAGCAGGACTTCCGGGAGGACCAGGATGCTGCCTTCTTCAAGGTAAAAGGGCCTGGGAACCAGCCCCTCCTTCGAAGTGCTCAGGGGTTATGTCTGCCTGGATTTCAGATAAAGGATACAACCAATACAACCAGCTACGTAATTGTCAGAGCCCCCAAAATGAAAATGCAAATATTTTTGAGGATTTCAAGATGGCAACAGCTGAGCATAAACCCAACACAGGCCTTTCTGTGCAAGTGCTCATGCTGCATGTCCATGAAGCTGGCCCTTGTGGAGGGTCAGCTGGGGTCTATAACATGTCACCTCTTTTCACTTTCTCTGTTTCCTAGGCCTGGGCGATATTTAAGGGAAAGTACAAAGAGGGGGACACAGAAGGCCCCGCTATCTGGAAGACTCGTCTGCGCTGTGCTCTCAACAAGAGTCTCGAATTTGAGGAGGTTCCTGAGAATGGTCATAGGGATGGGGCTGAGCCCTACAAGGTGTATCGGCTGCTTCCTCCAGGTACCGTCCCTGGTGAGTGTTCCCTTGCCCATCACTCCTAGAATCAGCAGACTGGGGAGGAAGGGTGGAGATGAGCCTCCTAGGAGGTGGTGGGACTCCTTGTAGGCCCCTCGGTCAGAGTTCTACCTTGTCCCTGTCCTTGGGGAGCTGCTACCCAGGTTCCCCTGCCTAGTCCTGCCAACCTTTCACTACCTCTTTTCTCTCCCCTAACCTCTGTCCCCACTTAGGCTCTGACCTCTCTCTCCCCCTCAACAATATTCCACAGCCCCACCAGGCACCCAGAAACTACCACCAAAGAGACATCATAGCTCCGTGTCCCCTGAGAGGGAGGAGAATGCGGGTACTACAAAGAACTGTATACTTAGTCCCTCCTTGCTCCAGGACCCCCTCAAAAATGTAAGAGCTGGGGAGGGCATGGGGTGAGCCTGAGGGCAGGACAGTAGAGGGAGAGGAGGCCAACAATAGATACTGTGTCTGCAGGAGGAGGTGGGGGCCAATGGGGGAACAAGCCATTCAGACTTTGGGAGCAGCAGCAGCAGCAGCAGCAGCAACAGCCCTGAACCTCAGGAAGGTATCGCCTCCCCCGCCTGTTGTCATCCTTCATGCCACAATCTCTGGCCCTTAGACTCTCCCGTCCCACTCTGGATGACGTCCCTTTCCTCCCTTCCAGGTACAGACACAACTGAGGCCCCTTTCCAAGGAGATCAGGTGTCTCCGGAGCTTCTGCCCCCTCCAGACTCAGGTACTTGGCATGTCTGACTTACCCTGGCTCCCGATCTTTGCAGATCATCTTCCTATGGCTATGCACATATTATCCAATCTGTCAGGGCTTGCAGCAGCCTGGGCTCAGCATACCCAGACAGAGGCATTGGTTTCTAGGCAGTGCACCTGGCCAGATTGCAGACTTCAAATAGCTTGCTTCTCAGAACTAAATCTTATGCATTCTGTTCCCTGGAAATCTGCTTTAAGATATTGATTTCTATGGGTTAAGCAAAGGGACCTTCTTATAAACCCTAAGGCCTTGGGCATTAAGCCTTGAAGCCTCTGTAAATCTATGTATCAGCTATTTTCTCGAGTATAGGAAAGTCTGACAGGAGCCCCTTGGCTGGTGAAGGTTAGGAAAGTGAGAGTGAGGAGGGAGGGCACAATCTATAACCTTAGAAGGTACAGCTGCTGCCCCCGCCCCACAGCCTACCTCATCCTCCCCAGCCCTCGCTTGGCTTCCCTCTCAGCCTCACATCCCTCAACAGCAACATGCCGATGTTGTATTTGCAAAGAGCTCTTCTTTGTTTCCCCAGAGCCCCATGCTGACCAGGTGAACCCCTGGAGAGAGGCCCTGGTACAGATGGTCGCTTTCTGTCCACAGACTACTCGCTGCTGCTTACCTTCATCTACAACGGGCGCGTGGTGGATGAGGTCCAGGTGCAGAGCCTGGACTGCCGCCTTGTGGCTGAGCCCTCAAGCTCTCAGTACGACGGCATGGAGCAGGTGGTATTTCCCAAGCCTGGCCCGCAAGAGCCCACCCAGCGCCTGCTGAGCCAGCTTGAGAAAGGTGTCCTGGTGGCCAGCAACTCCCGAGGCCTCTTCGTGGAGCGCCTTTGCCCCATTCCCATCTCCTGGAGCGCACCCCAGGCCCCGCCTGGTCCAGGCCCACACCTGCTGCCCAGCAATAAGTGTGTGGAGCTCTTCAGAACCACTTACTTCTGCAGAGGTGAGGCTGCTGCATCCTAGCACCCGAGCCCCTGCCCCTACCTCTTGGTTCTCCCTGGGCCCTGTCCCTACCCTGTGCTCCCTCCAATGGATCCACCATCACAGCCTGTGCATGGCACCCTGCACTTGCTAGGTACACATCCTGTGGGGCCCTATGCTCAGCCCTGGCAGCCCTCCTTCTACAGTTCGGGCTGTGGAAGATGAGGCTCAGGTGGATCCCAGCACAAGGCTGTCACAGTTCAGAGGGCACCATCACATTGAAACATACCATACAGTAATCATGGCAGGGTACACCTTGCACACACACTGGCACACACACCCATCCACGCATTCGGGAGAGCTGACGCATGTCATACATCCTGGCCCTACCACGCTAGGCATCCCCTCAGGTTGCCCCTCTCCAGTGCATGCTTGGAATTTCACTTCCTGCCTCTGTTCAACTCTAAATCTGACATGGGGGTGGGCAGGAGTATAAGAGACGCAGACCATGAGTGTTCCCAGGGTCATGGGTGCCTTAGCATAGGGAGGGTGTGAGCAGGCAGCCAAGGCGTGGGCTCAGCAGCCAGGCCTGCTGCTACAAGGACTGAACACTCCCAGCAGACAGCATGTCAGGTTGTATAACAGTCGGCTACCTCTATATGCTTGTTACTCGAGGAAAGATCACCTTTTCCTGTCTGCACATGGGTGAGTAGCCACTTGATTCCTACCATTTCTGGCACAAAGCAGCCTCGTGACCCTGCAGTTCCTGCTGTGGCCTTGGTCTCCAAGTGGCCCCACTGCCACCTCTTTCTCCATTATGGGTTCCTCCCTATTCCTCCCTGCCTGTGGTTCTCACCCTTCTCTTTCTTTCTTCCAACAATTAACCCTTTCTCTTCCAGACTTGGCCAGGTACTTCCAGGGCCTGGGCCCCCCACCCAAGTTCCAGGTGACACTGAATTTCTGGGAGGAGAGCCCTAGCCCCAGCCACACCCTACAGAGTCTTATCACAGTGCAGGTGAGTTTGGGGCAACGGAAGAATAGCTGCCTATGTGGGCGAGGGAGCTCCATGAGGAGAGGGGCCTTCCCAGGGCAAGAGTGGTGACTGCCCCTGCTGTGCTGATACCCTCTCCCCACCTCTTCTGGCACAGATGGAGCAGGCCTTTGCCCGACATTTACTGAAGGAGACTCCAGAGGACCAGGCAGCCACTCTGTCCCTGGTGCAGAGCCTGGGGGACCCACCTTCCTCCTCTCCACTCTGTTCCTCCTATTTCCTTTGACCTGCCTCCCTTGGTGATAATTCTTAGTGGTTGTCTGTGATGGTTATGTTTTTGAACTGCTCACGATGTCTGGCTGGTGGAGAACTCAAGCATGATTTTTATCTGGTTTCTTTTTGTTGTTGTTTTGTTTTTTGTTTGTTTGTTTCTTAAGTTTCTGAGTTAGACCCTCTTTTATCTCTGAGGAACTGAAATGAGAAAGTCCAAGTGATGTGAACTCAGAGGGACCATTTCCTCTTCCCCGAACCCTAAAGCCAAGCACTTTATATTTTCTTCTTAGACCTTCACTAATAGTTTAAAATAAAATTTTTTTGAAAAAGGAATCAGTATCTGATTTGTTGAGAAAAGAAGGGATCACAGGGAAATGACATCTCTGGGGTCCTTTCTTCCCCTCCGGGTGGTTCTGGTTAGGATGCAGTCTGGGCTCTGTGGGTGCTGGGCCTAGCTCTCTGTACCTTCTAGGCAACCAGAATTGGGGTCTGGGTCAGCCACTGAGAGGGGCACTGAGCCTACAGCCAATATAGCCACCAACTTCACATGAGAAGATCTGGGCTCCACAGTTCTTGACTAGAGGCCTCTGATTTGTGCCTTTGCAACAGGTCTAGGGTTGGACTCTGGACTAGAGATATGAATGAATGGGAAAACTTGAAGTTGACCTGAAACTGTGGACTAGAGGCCTTGGGGCCTGGCAGGGGAGGGGGAATCGGGGAAGAATTGCTGAACCTTCTGTGTCTGGGGCAGACCAGGCCCTGGCGCCTCTTCTCCTAGCACATGGTGCACTGTCACCCTGACTGAAGAGTACTCTTAAACTCATTCTATCTGAGCCCCACAAAAGATAACCTGGCCTAACCTGCCATGTCACCAACACTTTGCTGAGATTTGAGGGGTCCAAATCAGCTGACTCCTCCACCCCCTGTTTATTTTGCCACTGAACTGGAAGTTCTTCCTTTACAAGACCACTTGTCATCCTTCCTCTCTGTACACTCACTTCCAGCAGACTAGTTCAGACCTAAGTCACCACTTCCCTGACTGCCACGGTCTCCAGCTCCCCACTTCCTACACATGACACCAGACTGGAGGAGAAGGAGCCTCCTAGACTAGATCCCTTCCTGTCATTTCACTCTTATAAGCCTTCAGCTACATGATCACCTACATGATCAAAGCTAGATGCCTAGATCCTCAAGAAACTTCTTGCTGTCTCACCTGACAACCTTCAGTGATGTTTTTGAGCCTTTCTGCTTCCTTGGACCTTCCTTCTCTTCAGTTTTGCCCATTTTCCTCCTGAGAAGCCAAGAGCCTAATCAGGTATCTGCACTAGTAGTAAAGAAATCAAGTGCTGAGTACACAGATGCACAAGACTTGTTGTGCCCTCAATATGCTGAAATCCTTCCTGGATCTTCCTTGTACCTGCTTCCTCCTTGACTTCCATTTTCTCTCATACCCCACATGCAATCCATCAGAAAATCCTGTCATTCCTTTAAAAGCTATCCAGAATCTGACCACTTCTCTTTGCTTCCACCAATAACACTTTGGAACAAGTCACCACCGTCTCTCACACCTCTTCCTGCTTCCTTCCACATCTTTTCTGTTTCCACTCTTGTCCACCTTTAGCCTATTCTCAACACAGTGTAAGTCTTCTTAACACAAATCTTGTCATATCACTCCTCTGCTCAAAACCCTCCATTGGCTCTCAACTAAGGGGAAAGACCCAAATCCTTACAATAGACTCCAAGATCCTTGTGATGTGGCTCCCATCCTCCTCTCTAACCTTATCCCTTGCCATTCTTCTCTATTCTTCTCCATTCTTCACTTTGCTCCAGGTTCTTTGAATCCACCAATACATTTCTGCCTCAGGACTTTTGCACTTGCCAATTCTTTTGTCTAAAATACTCTTCCTTCAGGTAGACACATGACTTACCCTCTCTCTGAGCACCCCACCTACACGTCAGCCCTCACTGCTCTCTATTCTCCTATGCTGCCTCATTTTCATAGCACTAACTACTTCACATATTTCTATTAGTCTACTTCCTTATGCTCTCTCCTTTCTTACTCTATGAGAACAAGGACTTGTTCTGTTCATTGCTATATCCCTGGTGTCTAGAGGAGTGTCTGGCACATAGTGCTCTCAAGTTACATTTCTGTCATTTCCCTGTGACCTCTGCTACTTCTCCCAACAAATCAGATATTGATTCCTTTTTCAATAAAATGTTGTTTAAAACCCTAGTGAAGGTCTATTAAATACTTGCCGAATGAATGGATGGATGGATGAACAAATTCTACGTCCCTTGCTTATCTCCTAAAATAGGTTCTAAGCACCTTAAGGGCAGGTGCCCCCATTTTATCATTTTTGTGCCCCAATGTGAACACTTATGAACATTGACAACATATGTACAGTGATTGAAGCAATTGTGTCACGCAGAAACCAATTTAGCCAAGCATGGTAGAATAGGGATTGGGAACACTGGAATTCAAGGGAGCAGAGTTCCTAACCAGGATGTCACTGAGTTGCTGTGTGGTCTGGGAGAAGCAGTCTGTATAGGCCTCTGTTTTCCCATCTGTAAAGGCAAGACTTGGACTAGATTTTGAAATCCCTTTCAGCATTGACATTCTATGGTCATAAGTTTAGGGTAACTGCACATTCATTTGACAAATATTTACTGAACTAGGTTCCAGGCACTAATTGAAAACACAAGACCCCAATCTCAAGAGCTCCCAGATTGAAGGAGCAAAATAAAATAGGGTCAGATTGGCTGCAATAAGAGCTATCTTAAAGAGGCAGAAGCATGCCCTGGAGTCAAGGCTGGGGAGGGCATCTAGGCCAAAGAAATGGATGTGCAAAGGCAGGCGGAATGGAAACAAGGGATATTGGTAACTAGAATATGACTTAATTTTACACAAAGAATTGTTTGAGATAAATGGCTTTTGTATGCTGAGAGTGTGTCCTGCATCCAACAAAGCTAAAGTCTATTTCAGCCAGGAAAACAGTCACAACTGGAAAACAGCCAGATCAGGCATGCCCACAATCTAAACTGTTCATTTAGAAAATTACCCTGCAAGTCCTCTCACTGCTTCCTGTGAGATCTGCCGTCTTCCCCATCTACCCGTAGTGGCTCCCAGGCCCCCTCACACCGTTTCTACCTGCCCAGCTCATGATAGGCCCAAGACTGGCACAAAGAGAGACCAATCAATTGCTACCTGGTGGAATTTGGGGGAAAGAGCAAGGTCTAACCGCAGGCCAGGCCGCGAACAGGGTCAGCCAAGGTTATTGCCCCGGGCATGACCTAACGTCCCCTGCTGGTTGAAGTTGTTACCATGCTGGATAGGAAAGGCGGAAATTTGCTCCTCGCTCATTGGTCGGCAGAGAAGAGCCTCCGAGGAACCCTTGTTACCAGAGGAGAGAACGAGAGCCCATTGGTCAGGACACCTCATAAAAGCCTCACAGCGCGCAGGATTCTGCAGATCGGTTCGTTCCCGCCTGGGGAACCCTCGGCCTGCTTCTCGTCGCCCTGGAACAGCACTGCTTCGCGGACCCCTCTTCCCATAGGCTATTCTGGGGCCTGCTGTCATCTAATCAGGAGCAAGGCGCAGAACACCAGACGGAGTGCTCCCTGAGGTGGGATCTAGTCCCTCTGGAGGGCGGCCCGGAGAGACTGCCACTGCCCAAGCTGAGTGCAAAGGCCCCAGAGCTCAGCATTTCTCGGAGGACAATCATTTCCCCCTCAGGACTTGGTCTGAACCACTGCCCTAGCCTCTCCTCAGAGCTCTGCATCTCCAACCTGCAACCCAAACTGAATCTAGTAAGTTCGAAGCACCCACGTGGCGTGCGAACCTTCAGGGCTGACAGAGAGGGGCATCCCTGTGTATCCAGTATGCATCTCCTTTTACTTGTCCCTTTAATCATTTATCCACCATTTATTTTAGCATTCTAGGTCCACCCGCAGCGCCACCTGCCCAAATCCTTCTCCCGCGGTGCCGGGAAATCCCGTGCCCTAAAGAATTCGGGCCGAGATTCAAACAGAGGAGTGGTGGACGACGAGAGGGTGAAACCTCGGAGGAACGATGTTCTACTATCCCAACGTGCTTCAGCGCCACACCGGCTGCTTCGCCACCATCTGGTAAGGGCCGGCTGGGCCAGAGTGGGCGTGCCAGGAGGGGAGCCCTAGAATCCCTGTCTGATAGCTCCCCTTCCATTACCACCTCCACCCGGTCCAGGCTGGCAGCGACGCGCGGCAGCCGATTGGTGAAGCGAGAATACCTGAAAGTTAACGTGGTGAAGACCTGGTAAGGCCCAGAAAAGGGAGGAATGACCTGGTGCTGGTGTGGGTTAGCGGGTGAACTGGGGTGGGCAAAGCTGTGGGGCTGGTTCTCTGTGCAGCGGTGATCAGGGTGCGTTGTTCCCCAGCGAGGAAATCCTCAATTACCTGCTGGTACGAGTGCAACCTCCCCAGCCCGGCTTGCCGAGGCCCCGCTTCTCCCTCTATCTCTCAGCCCAGCTCCAGATTGGCGTGATCCGGGTCTACTCACAACAATGCCAGTATCTCGTAGGTAAGGCTGGGAAGGCTCTGAGGCGGGGCAGAGCTGAATGACCCTCAGCTAGGCTAGCTCTCTACCTTGTCCTGCCTTCCCACAGAGGACATTCAGCACATCCTGGAGCGTCTGCACCGTGTTCAGCTGCAGATCCGAATAGATATGGTGGAGACTGAGATGTGAGTGTTCCTCTGGGACTGGGACCACCCAGCCTTTGGTGGGGGACCTCCCTGCTTGGCCTGAGCCCATCTCAGCCTCAGTCCTTGACAGCCACATTCTCTCTCAGACCGAGCCTGCTGCTTCCTAACCGCCTGGCCTTGATGGAGACCTTGGAAGATGCTCCAGACCCCTTTTTTGGGATAATGTCTGTGGATCCTAGACTTCCTAGTCCCTTCGATATCCCTCAGGTAGTATTTATTCCTCTAGGACACCTCAGGCTGATGAGTTGACAGTGCAGAAGGGGAGTTCTATTCCTGCACCAGTCTGACATGGGTTAGGGGAAGGGAGCCTGCCACAGCTTTGCCCCACAGGAGTCAATGCTAGGGAGACTGTCATGGTGGACCCAGCTCCACTTAGCTACCTACTCAAGACCAACCTAGAGGCAGCTCTTGTCCCCACTCATCTCCACACTGTTCCTACTGCCAAGGCCCTAATCCAGGCCTTCATTGTCCCTCAGCACTGTTTCCCTACCCATGTCCTTCTCCATCCATTCCTAATATCTCTGCAACTTCAATAATGTGACTCTTCCTTCAAAAACACCTCCAGTGGTTCCCCACTGCAAATGGAATACTAGCATTTAGGGCTCTCTGTGCCCTGATCCAGAGCTAGCCTTCCGCAGACATCTAAGCACATCCTCTTGGCATCTTTGGCTCCCAAACACCAGTCTGGTTCCTGTGTTTCAAAGACGCCGCATGCACTTCTTTGCTTATGCTGTTTTCCTAGCCCATAATGGTCATCCTTTGTTCTCTACTAGTCAGATCCTACACATCCCTAAAGACCTTGCTCAAATGCTACTCTTTTCCACGAAGTCTCTATCCAACTCCCAGCCAGAAACAAATGTCATTCTTGAATTAGCACATTACTAAGGCCTTATTTTATTCTTTGTGTTGACCTTTGCTGGGGTCATATACAAACTCGTCTCTTTACTAGACCATATGCTTAAGATCAAGAATCTTTTCTGTTCCTTCTGTTCCCCACAACACTTGATATAAGGATGCAGTGCTTCTCGCACAGACAAATTGACAAAGGTTGCATTACTGGTTGGGACGGGAGCCATGAGGGTAGGAATGGGAGGAAGACCAGATGGTGAGTGGGTTCACTGCATGCTGATGTCAGTGCTGCAAGAATTAGACATAAAGAATTAGTTATTACTATCCATTGCCTGAACAGAGTTGTAAAAGAGGGAAAGAAGGGGGCAGAAGTTGAACTCTATCTTTTGTCCCCAATCCCTCCCCAAAGATTCGACACCTTTTGGAGGCTGTGACCCCAGAGAGAGTTCTTGAGGAGGCCCCTCCTGAAGTCCCTACAGAGCCTGGGAAACCAGGTGAGCCTTCTTTCTGGTGAGGGGCTTAGGAAGCTCCAAGAGCTGAAGAAGTAATCATCTTTGAGCTTCTCTCAAGAGCCAGGCCCTGTGAGGGGCACCTTGTGTGTGTAACTTCATCATTGCCTCTTGAGAGTCCCATGCGATCAGAATTCTAATCCCCATCTTACTGGTCAGAAAATTGAAGCCCATAGTAGTTAAGCAATGTATTCAAGGTCAAATGGCTGGTGACTGGCCTGACTGGAACCAGGTTGACTTGACTCCAGAGTCCATGCTTTTGCTTCACCACATGGGTGTGGGAACTTGGAAAGAAGCAGAGGGGCTGATACGACTTTACTGCCCCTCCAGTCAGGCCTCTGGTCACTGTGCTGTCTCCTGAGGCCATCACCCTCCAGGAGGCGGAGCCTATACGCATGCTACGCATCGAGGTGAGTTGTCCCCTTGCACACATAGCCTGAGGCCTAATACCTGATTCCGATAGCCTGGCACCCTTGCATCTACTTCCCTCTGCCCAAGTCCTGCCTTCTCCATTTCCATTTCCCCTCTCTCTGCCCCTGGCGCTTGGGCCCCTGGGCTTCCTTGGTCCAGTCTTGTGGCATGCCTCTCAGACTCAGCCTCCTGGATCCACTTCCTTTTTTCAGAAATGGAATTAAGCCCCTTCTCCTTGTTATTTCTTTCATGATAGGGTGAACGGGACCTCCCAGAGATTAGCCGCCGAGACTTGGACCTGCTCATTGCTGAGGAAGATGAAGCAATCTTGTTGGAGGAACGAGGCAGGCTCATCTGGCAGTGTAGGGCCTGGCTGGTGCTAGACAGCCAGGCCGCGGACACGGGCAATCTGGACCTGGGTAGTGCTCCCATCTTTTCTCTTCTGTGCTCTGAGCCCTTATCCTCTCTCTGCAGTGTTCAAAGAGGAGCCCCGAGTCCCGGAAATGGAAATTACAGTTCCCCCGCTCTCACCTATAGCTCTTGCACGGTAAGGGCAGAAACCCCTGGGCCAGGTAGAGGGTCAGTACTGGGAGGAGTACCCTCATCTCTCTTGCTCATTTTCCCTCAGGGTGGAAGGGGCAGCAGAACCACTTCCAGGCCCAGTCCTAGCCCCTGAGGAGCTGAAGCCAGCAGTCTGGGAGCCTGAGGCCCTGCTTGCTGGTGAGTATCTGCCATGCCTGGGTCCTTTCCTGGGGGCACCTGCACAACGACTGCAGACAAAGACTCTGTATTCCCACTTGCTAAAGGGAGGACCTGCTAGCTTCTTGCCTGGGTGGCTGCGAGGGCAGAGGGTGTGGGGTGGAGCCAGGACCTAGCATGTTGTTGCAGAGGTGACGCCCCCAGAGGAGCTGCGTCTCCCGGCCCCACTCAGCCCAGAGGTGAGTAGTAGACCTTCCAAGCCTTCTCCTTCTCTTCACCCTCCTCTCCCAGAGCTGCTCACCCATATTGTTTCCCCAAACCCTAGGCCACTGCTAGCCTACACAGGCATTTGTACAAATTAGTTAAAAGTTGACCCTGCCCATACTTCAGGTTATCCAGCTGTACTTTCAAATGGGTATGCTCCTGCAGAGTAGGAGCTGCACAGGCTCCTGGAGGCCCACCCAGCCTGTTCTCCAGGGACCTCTGGGGTGGCTGTGTGGGGACTATTTGCAGTCCACCAGGATGTCAGGAAAAAGGAGTAATGGGTAGTCTTACTCCCATCCCCCTCCTCCCCCCCCCGACTCAGCAGAGGAGGCCCCCCGTTTCACCACCTGCTCGCCGCCGCCGCCGCCAGTTATTGTTCTGGGACAAGGAGACTCAGATCTCCCGGGAGCAGTTCCAGAAACAACTGTACACCAGAGCTCACTGCTGGGAGTGTGTGAGTGCACTCCAGGCTTTGCAGGGGATTGAAGGAGGCAGGGAGGGCCTGGGGCAGGTGCATGCTGGGGCCTTCTAAACTCCTCAGGAGGCACTGGGAACATTTCCCAAAGTGCATGCATTGGGGGTCTGCACATGCACAACTCTCCATGCTCCTTTAGTGACCTTGCTTGGCACATCCACAGGAACCAGTTAAAAGTCCTTTTAGCAGTGGGCACAGCAGGCAGGGGCAGGCATGTGCCTGAAAGGGTTGGAAGGACAGAAGCCCCGGAACAAGGCATTGCAGAGGTGAAAGGGCAGTGAGGGACTCTGAGCTCTGGTCTTTCCTACCATGCAGCCAATGGTGCAGCCTCCTGAGAGAACCATCAGAAGCCCCACAGAGCTGTTCCGAACCCCAACTTACTGTAAGTGTGGTAGGAGTTAGCATGCGGGATCCTGATCCCATATTCCTCACTCTTGGTGTTCCTCATGCCTCAAACCCTGTCTATGCTGCCACCATGTCCCCATCCAGCTGGCTGGCTATCCCCAGAACTGCTGGCTTTCTGGACCCACTGTGCCCAGCCACCCCCAAGAGCACTCAGGCGAATGCCACCCCTGGAGCCTGAGGAGGAGGAGGCTGCTGAGAGAGAGGCAGCAGCTGAAGAGGAAAGGAGAAAGGCTGAAACTCTGAGTGATATTGAGGTAACTGCACCTTCACTCCTTCCTGCAGGAGCTATCCTCTGCCTATATAAGCCAATGGCACCAGGTCCTGGGCTTGGGGTGCATCCTGTTCCAGAGCCAAGGCAGGTTCAGTGCAGGGATTGCTTCACCCTTTCCCCAAGTGCTTCTGTGATGATTAGGGTCTTAGTTCTTTCTCTTATCCCCAGGTCCTGAGGGAGGCCCAAGAGCCCAGTGGGCCCCTCATGCTGTCTTCAGGTAAGCACCTGGGGCAGGGACTGTGGAGATTCCTGTAACCACTGTCCCAGGAAACTGGTACTCCAACTGCTGACAGTTTTTGTCAGAGGAGCATTTAACATACGAAGCATAGATTGGTTCTCTTCAGTTCTCTCTCCTGGGTGCTTGTAACGTCATTGCACAGCTTTTGGCATCCAGTTTGATCAGGTGGCCCCAAAGTCCTGACTGCTCAGATCCAAGCAGACCCACTCATGACCTTCCCCTCCCCCAACAGAGCTCTCCATAGAAACAGCTGAGGAGGAGAAAACCCGCATCAGCCTCATCCCCCCAGAA